GGCCGAAGAGGTTCCAAGAAGCAATGGTTTCCCATCGGCTTTTGATGGATTTTAAAGTTCCCAGCCTTTTGGCTTCCCGACGCTCCAAGACGGCCCAAGAGGCCCCCAAGACCGCAGAGGCCTCCAAGAGGGCCCCAAGACGGCCCACGAGGGCCCCAAGACGGTGCCCGAGGCGCCCAAGACGGCCCGAGAGGGCCCCAAGAGGGCCCCAAGAGAGCCCCAAGAAGGTGAACGCGAACCCAACAGCAGAGCCTTTCGCCCTAAGAGGCCCACAGGAGGCCCCAAGAGTCCCCAAGTGGTTCGACGAGGCCCACCAAAGCCCCCCACCAGGCCACAAAAGGCTCACAGGAGACGTACACGGGGCCAATCAAAATTGCTTCAAGGAGGCCCCGGGAGGCTTCCGGATTGCCCCAATGTGGCCTCAAGCCAGGCCTCTACGCAGCCAAGACGGCCAATTGTATGCTTCAGGCTGCAGAACATCACTTTCCGAATGCCCGGAGAACCCTGACGATACCCCAAGGGACCCCAAGAAGCCCCAAGATGCCCCCCGAGAAGCACCCAAGATGTGCCTGCAACAGCCAATTGAGGAAGCATGGAGGGCCCCCCAGAAGCCCTTCAGATGCCCCCACGAAGACCCAAGAGGTTTCCAAGAGGCCCTCAGGAGGCACGACTATGTCACGCGCCTGTGCTTGATAGCGCTGTCCAAGATCCTCAAGCGCGCCCCTGGCCTGGGCTAGAACCTGAGCGCGCGCGAAGCGCGCGCCATGGTTCTAATATATATATATATATATATACACAAGACTGCAGTGGCGCTTCGCGCCATGCACCTTGGTCCTTGAAGATTGCTACGCAGGTGGAAAAGGCAGGAAGGTCAAGCGGACACTTTAACGATAACTCCTTGCTGCCATTTCTGGCATCGCCATTATGATAATGTTGTTCGTTATCCTGGCTCCATGCTTATTTTTCCTGATTCTCGCCATACCCTGGGCATTCTCCCCATCCTCCTCAGCTCTTTTTGAGGAGGGTCCTCCTTGGAGAGCCTTTGGGGGCCTCACCAAAGTTCTCAAGCTTTCCTAAGCCTTCTGGAGGCCTCCTGGGCGTGTTCTGGGGGCCTCTGGGGCTTCCTAAGGGCAACATGCATTTAACCGCGGTCTCCCTGAACGCCCCGGTCACGATTTGGAATGCTTCGGAGGGTGTCTTGGGGCCATCTTGGGCCGCCATGGGGCTCTCTTAGGGCCATTTTGGACCCCTGGTGCGCCGTTTTGGGGCTCTCTTGGACTGCCTTGAAGCCCTTTCGGATGGCTGTGGGGCGGTTTGGGAGCCTTCCAGGCGACTTCAGACGCCCAGAAGACCGCTGTCTTGGAGCGTCGGGAAGCCGAAAAGATGAGAACCCCAAATTCACCAATTATCCCAGTGCGACCCTACCTAGGAGTTGGAACCCCTAGGAAAGCAGCATTAGTAGTAACAGTAACGATAAGCTAAAGCTAAGCTAAAGCTAAGCTAAAGCTAAAGCTAAGCCACAGCTAAGCTAAAGCTAAGCTAAAAATAAGCTAATGCTAAGCTAAAGCTAAGCTAAAGCTAAGCTAAAGCTAAGCTAAAGCTAAGCTAAAGCTAAGCTAAAGCTAAGCTACAGCTAAGCTAAAGCTAAGCTAAAGCTAAGCTAAAGCTAAGATAAAGCTAAAGCTAAAGCTAAGCTAAAGCTAAGCTAAAGCTAAGCTAAAAATAAGCTAATGCTAAGCTACAGCTAAGCTCAAGCTAAGCTAAAGCTAAGCTAAAGTTAAGCTAAAGCTAAGCTAAACGCTAAGCGAAAAGCTATGCAAAACGCCAAGGTAAAGCTAAGCTACAGCTAAGCTAAAGCTAAGCTAAAGCTAAGCTAAAGCTAAAGCTAAAGCTAAAGCTAAAGCTCCCAGGGGACTGGGGGAAACCGCTCCCAGGGGACTGGGGGAACCGCCTGGGGCGTGTTCCACTGCCCGGCCCCTTTAAGCTAAGAGAGTAAGAACCCTTCTAGGCAGAGCCTAGGTAGGGAAAAATCTACATTAAATCAATTATTTGTCCCTCTTGGGGCCTTCTTGGGGGTGCTCTTGGAGGCCTCTTGGTACGTTTTGGAGCGATCTTTCGGGGTATGACGGCTTCTTGGAGCGCTCTTGTGCTGTCCTCGGGTTCTCCAGGACGTCTCCGATGACCCCCCTGATCGCCCTAGGAGTGCTGCGAAGGCTTGGCAAAACGCCCTGCGAGGCCCGGGGGGCCGCTTCGAGGCCCGTCCGAAGGGCCCCAAAGCCCCAGATCCCGGGAGTCCGGTTTTTTTTTGGGGGGGGGACGGGTTTTCCCCCCGCCCAGGCTTACAAAAATATAGGAAGAGGTATATATATATATATATATATCATATCATATCATATCATATCATATCATATCATATCATATCATATCATATCATATCATATCATATATATATATGTGTGTGCGTGTGTAAAAATAATATGGGGACGATGTTTCGACTATGTTTGACTGCGTTTGCGCATTTGTTGACAATTTCCCATTTTTCTTCGCACAGCCGCCTGTAGGAGGACATGCCCGACCTAATGCCAGGACGCTTCCCTGGGCAGCCCAAAGGGGCAAGACGGAGTGCATGCAGCAGAGCGAGAAGACCAAGAGCAAGGCGAAGCTGCCGCCGCTGGTGTTTTGCTCAAGACTGAGGGCAAAGTCAAGAACACGGGCGACGAGCAGGTGGGAGCTTGGCACCTCCTGCTGTGCGTGAGCTGGGCTGGCGCGAAGGACGAGGCGGTCAAGGACGACAGCGTCGCGATCTTCGACCTTGAGCACCGCATGGAAAGGGGATTCGCGGAGAAGAATTTTCGGGGCGGAGGCGAGGGCTTCGAGCCTCCAAATTCTGTCGCGACGGCGGAGGAGTGGCCTGTCTCGCTGAGCTGAGCGAGAAGGAGAGAAGGAGAAAGAGATGTGTCATGTATGCCCGTGGTGACGAGGAAGCTTCAGGGAAGCTCGTCGGCGAGCACGCCACCCAGCAGCACGTCAAAGGCGTCGGCGTGTGCGGAGTCGCGCGAGCCGACGTGGAGGAGGCCACGAGCGCCACGGAGGAGCTGAACAGTAGGATGGCGGCTGCCGCACGTGGCCCGTCGGACGACGGGGACAGCAGCGGAGAGGCCGCCTCCGACGAGGACGAAGTGGAGCAGCTGATCTACGAGCTCCACGCGGGGGTGCCAAGAGCGGGAGTGATCAGGAATGTGCCGGCCAGGGCGCGTGCTGCCTGGGCTTAGCGCCCACTCCTGGCTTCACCCACGCTCTCAACGAGCTCCACGACTCCAAGGACCAGGAGGAGGAGGACGAGGAGGAGGAGGAGGAGGAGGAGAAGGAGGAGGAGGGGGAGGGGGAGGAGGAGGAGGGGGAGGGGGAGGAGGAGGAGGAGGAGGAGGAGAAGGAGGAGGAGGGAAGGGAGGCCTCCAAGGCCTGGCGGAGGAGTGCGAACACGCCGCCACGGGCGGGACGCCGACAGTCGGCTCGGAGGACGGCCCCGGAAGGAGCACAGCACAGCGGTGGCGCCGGGGCGCTGGAAGCACGCTGGCTCTCCCGATGCAAGAAGGAACCAGCCTCGACCGTATCCCTATCCCTAAGATGGCCGAGCAAAAAGCGAGGACAATCTCAGGGAGAGGCCCTCAGAAACTGAGGGAATCCTCAAGATCGGCAGCGAGGTAAGATGATATCAAACATAGGGATAGGCATATGTTTCAAACTGGTAAAGAAGGACGGCATGGGGCTTTGTCCACACATGGTGCAGTTGGGACCCTCGGGAGGGAGAGGAGAGGACGAAAACGGCAGAGATAGGGGGACAAAGAATGGCATCCACAAGAGATCTCGGAGGTCCGCGCAGATTTCTCGGATCGGCGCTGGAGCCCCCTGGCGGCACTCCTGGCGCTGCCACTGTCGCGCTCCGCGCGCCAGGGAGGGGGGCTCCGCCAATGTGGAACTTTGCGTCATATGCGAAATCATTACTTTACTGTGCGCATTCATGAACTCGAAGATTTCATCCTCTTGGACCGTGAACGGGACTTGCATCCACTGCCGGTCGTCTAGTGCCCAGCATGAACTTCAGTGAATTCATACACTTCAACGGGAGGGGGAGGGTACGTTCTTGGGACGGTTTCTTCCTTCTCCTTTTCCACCCTTCTGCTCTTTCTTCCCCCCCTTCTTCCTCCTTTTCCCCCCTTCTGTTCTTTCTTCCCCCCCTCCTTCATGCCCCGCCCCCTTGTTGTTGCTTCCCTTCTCCCCTCCCCCCACCCGCGCTAGACGTGCAAGGCTCGTTTCCCAGGTGCTGGCGCGCCCCGACACCGACGTGGACATCTGGCTGCCGCCGCGATGCCGGGCCGACGGGACGATGCGCGCCGACCCTGCAGGAGCCGCCAGCCACCACAGGGCGCGGCCGCGGTCACAGAACCGGAGTCACCAGAAGACCCGGCCGAGGGAGGACAGCCACCGCAGGGCTGAGCGCTCCCGCCGCGGGAGGAGCCACCATAGGCCTCCCGGCCCGAGGGAGGGGCACCAATTGGCCCCGCCCTTGACACACCCACCCGGCTCGCGCGACGACCCTTTGTGTGATCTCTGTGGAGTTCCAGGCCACTTTGCTGCGTCTTGCCCGTCGCTGCACTGGCCGGTCGCCGTACGGGCGCCAGCTACCACGCCGAAGTCGTCACCGCCAGGACGCGCACTGCCTATCCTCACCCCGTGTGCTGAAGCACCCCGTGCCAACCAAACCAGGGGCTCCGGCCTCGCGCCCAGGGATGGCCAGGGCCAAGCATCTGCTGGTCGCACGATGCCCATCAAGGAGGCCCGTGCGGCCATTGAAAAAATTGGGCACCATGAGCTCAGGGAGTTGATCTTCGCGGACGACACGGCGGGGGCCAAAATTCGGGAGGCGTCTTACGGCCTCCCCCCTGGGTTTCAGCCAGATCTCGCCTTCGGATCCGAGGAGTTGAGGGTGTGGAGGCCAGGAAGAAGTGCAACGCAGAGATGCTGCGCAGATGCGCACCCATCTGCACCGCGAAGGTGCGGCAAGACATCGCTCAGAACTCGGAGGACTTCTCCCCGTACATCATGCGGGCTCATGCCCGTCGGAACCTCTGGAAGCTGACTCCGCACGTGCCACTGGACCTGGATACGTTCAGCTTCTGGGTCTTCCTCAACTGGATCCAGACGAATAGCCCCTACCAGCGGGCCGAGTACTAAGGGGCCAGATGCGAACCCTACCCATACCCCCCACGATCGATTTCTGAGGGGGAGGGGGGGGGTCACTTCGCTCGGGAGCTCCCGAACGAAGTGAACCCCACCCTCCCCCTCAGAAATCGTGGGGGGTAGGGGTAGGGTTCGCATCTGGCCCCCGAAGTACGGGGCCCAGGAACGAGTCGCTCCCAGCCACGATGCGCCGCGTGGCCCTCTTCATCGCGGACCCGGGCCAGGCGCACGTCGAGGTGGATGCCGCGATCCCCGCATCGAAGCCAGCGCCCGCACGGGCCGTCGCGGCCCTGGCGCCGAAGGCCCCCGCGGGCCCCCAGGAGGCCCTCCACTTCACGACTGAGGACCTCCAGGCGTTCCACCCCCAACGACTGCGCCAGGCCAGCAGACCCAGGTCCATCGAGTGGGCGGCAGGCGAGAAGATCCCGACCGAAGAGGACCCGCAGGCTCTGCGGAGCCGCTTCTGGGCTTACCAGAAGGCCTTGGATGCGATCAGTTCATCGAAGAGCAAGGGTGGGAAGGGGGGCAGGAAGGGGAAAAAGCATATGCCGCCAAACATCTTTGCAGTCGTTAGGGAGAAGGCCGAGGCTTTGGGCGTGCAGTTCGACGAGAGCAAGCTCGGTGACCTCGCGCAGCTTCTGGCCGCCGTCAAGGCGCGGGCTGCCGAGCAGGAGCTCTGACTAGAAGCCCGCTTGCAGGCGCAAGGTTGCTTCGGGCTGGGCGAAAGGGGGGGATAGCAAAGGGGGGGGTGAGAATCTCGGAGGCGAATAGCCCAGGGGAGACCAATACATGTATCCAGGGGCGTCGATGATTCATGTCTTCGAAAAGGCTCCGGGGCGAATACGTGTAATGCCCGCCCCTGGGCTATTCGCCCATATCGTCGCCGCCAAGAATCAGCTCACGTAGCTGATTTTCCAAGCGCCTCCCGGCGCCAGAGGCGGCCATGCACCGAGGAATGGGCCCGTCGGTGGGGCCGAAACCAGCTGCATGCAGCAGATTTCGTAAGCCCCCCTTGCCCTATCCCCCCCTTTCGTCCGGCCCGATTGTTGCGCAAATGGGGGTGTCTGGGATATGCACGACGATGGGATGCCGCATGTCTCCCGGCGTCGGGAAATGCGTTCTTCGGTTACCTCCACACTGGCGTTGGTCCGCGGCGCCATACAGAGCGCATACGCCGCTCCAAGCTTTGATTGGCAGTGCATCTTCAAGCTGCACCAGACCATTCTCACCCTGACGCCCAACTTTTTCATGGCGTCTACCACTTGGTCTCACAGCAAGCTTCGTGTTCTTGCCTCCACGCTAGAGTCGTCCACCTGGCCCGTCCGTGACGTCGACCTCTCCTCGGAGTACGTCGTCTACCTCATTTGGAGCCTGGTGCATAGCTTCTTCTACATGGGAAAAGCGGTGGCATTCCAGGAGCGTCTGCGCAGGCACACGCAAGGCTTGCTTCGCCCTGGGACGTCACGGCCGAAGCCGTTTATGGATTGTTTGACTTCCCTATTCGGGGGGATGCGGTTGCGGCAGCTTCGTCTGTATGCTTCGTGCCGATCGCTCGCGCGGCGACCGAGGGGCATCTTCTGGAGTTGGAGAGGCGGGTCACTGCGGCAGTCCACCCGCCGCTGAACGAGCCTTACGTCCATGCAGCTCTTCGGCGTCTGGGGGCAGAGGAAGGGGGTTCGCAGGCGCGCGCGCGCGTCTCTTGCCGGCCCCCCACGCCGCCAGCACGCATTACCCAGCAGCGTCTCTTTGCCCAAGAGGTTTCTCGGCAGCGCCTGGCACTCAGGATGCAGTCGCTTCCGAAGGCGGAGATGGTCGCCAGCTGGGCGGCGGGGGCATGCAACGCGCTGGGGAAGCCGGAATCCTGCCGCTGCCGACAGCAACTGCTCAAGCTGACGCCCAGGAAATGTTTCGCGGTCTGGCACCATGTCCGCGAGCGAGTCGACGGCATGCCCCGTAGGTTGGGCATGTTCTTTTGTTGACACGGTGCGAAGATTTCGCCGCTGGCCAGTGCCCCGGGTCATGGTGCACGTCTCCTTGCCGTGGACCCCTGGAGGTGCTAGCTGGGCTGTTGCGCGAGAATTTCTGTCGGGCCTCGTTCAGCGTTCCCGGGGCGCCCGTTATGCGATACTCCTTCCAGCAGTGAGGGACCTCCATCTGGAGATTGCCGTATCCCCAGCGGTCACGATCCGGTCCATCCTTCGGAACGCCCCCAGCTGTTACAAGCGATTGCACGACGACCAGCCGTGGACATGCATGTGCGATTCGTTTCCTGATCTTCCGCGTGTCGCATCACCTGGAGTGGTTCAGCCTTCCGTCGCACGCAGTATTCCATCCTGACTTCGTCCCAGCCGATCAAGCAGGTCTACGCCGTCGTCACGGTTCTTGCTCAGCTTACCTGGCTGGTATACGCCGTCGGCACGGTCTTGGCCCTTGGCGCCCCGCTGGCGACTCGACCATCGTTTACCTCGCCTTTCCCGCCACCCTGTTTGGGAGGGGCTCAAGTGCAGGTCACTCACCTGCTCCCGCGCCTCCATCCGTGTGGCCTGACGCCGCAGCGCGTAACACCGAATTCCCTGGCATTTTGCTCTGGGCTGCACGATGCTCGAGCTTCCCTGGGTGCCCATCAGTCAGCCAGCCCTCGCCCTGCTGCCCCAGCGGCCGCCTTGTGAGCTGGCCCGGCCTGTCTGAGTTGCGCCCTGCAGCTAATTAGGTTTGCCCGTAGGCCCGGACAACTTCTCTTGCCGCCTGCGCTCTCGCTGGTGGCCGCGACCAAAAAAGTGTCGCATCAACTGACGGTTCACTTCATGGTTTCGCTCCTCAAGACATGCGGCCGTGGCCAGCGCACCAGGATCGTCTACGGATGACCCCCGTGCCACACTGCGGTCGAACCCACTCAGGGCATCATCGAAAAGCGCTGCGTGGCGGCTGTGAAGGCCGTTGCACAGACGAATGGCTTCCCTCTGGACAAGGGTCCTGGCACCGGCGGCGAACGCCCTCTGGGCGGCCGCGGCGCGTGCGGAGCTGGACCAGATGCCGGTGCGTCACCAGGAGATTGCGGACATGGGTCGTGCTTTGCTGAAGGGGCCCCAGGACACACAAATAAATACACACAAATTAAAAGATACTCCATATTTTTCCATATTTTTCCATATTTTTAGGGTTTTCGTCTTCCCCCCCACTTCCCATATTTTCCCATATTTTCCTGGGAATCGACGATTAATTGTGTCTGCGTGTTTCTTTCCCTCCTGATTTGTAGGGACTGGACATCGAGGAGTTCCAAAACACACGCCACACTCTCGCGGCAGTGCCCGCGGCGGGCCCAGCTGGTCGTCCGGAGCCTGTTTGGGGCGGGCGGCGCGGATCACCACATCGAGTACTACTCCAGATTTCGTAATAAAAAGGAGGGGGTCTGGACCCTCCAAGACAAGCCATTTCAGACCTCCCCCGTGGGAGAACCCGCCAAAACATCGTCCCCAGACCCCCCAGGCCCTCCAAGATAGCCTGGAAGAGACCCCCCCCGAAATGAGACCCCCCTCCCTTTATTACGAAATCTGGAGTACCCAGAGCTCAACCCGCCGACCATTATGTCCGGGCTCGCCGCGGTTCCGGGCCTCACCCCAGACATTCAGCCAGCCAGGATCAGCCGCCCGTCTGACCACCTACCAGACCACCCCAACCCAACCCGAAGACCCGAGTTTCGGGTTGGGGGGGGTAAGGGTTCCACGTGTGCTTTTTCGATGTTCCCCGACCCCCCCCCACTGGAAATCGAGGGTAAATCTGAGCCTTCGGGTTGGGTTGGGGTGGTTTGGTGGGTGGTGACCGTCTACATGGAAGATGGCCGCCGCACGTGCGCCGAATAAGAACCGGTCCTAGCCGGACGGTCGGCGTCCGATCGTCCACCGCTCCCGGTGGACCACCGCTTGCCTGGATACGCCGGCAGCACGGGCCCTCGACTAGTTCACCTCCAACTTCCTGCCCTCTTTCGCGCACATCGACCCCAGCCGCATGGACTCCGTGACGGCCCTTCTGGACGAGTGCTGCGAGTCAGGTCTGGCCACTCCCGTGCGGGGGTCTGGCAGTGACGTCAAAAGCTGTTCCACAAATATCCCCCACGCCCTCGACCAGGAGTCGTGGTCCTTTTCTCGTGCGGTGTTTTTTTCCGCATGAATCAGCCAAGGAACAGTTGCTTGCCTGGTGTGGTCCAAGAGTTAGTGATGATGCAGCGGCGATAACGAACCATACACTGCATCGGCAGGGTGTGCACGTCACGGGTTACCTCTTGGCGGCGGCGCCCGTGTCCAGGGTCTTAGGAATTGAAATCAAAATTGTCATAGAATCATAGGACTGTGCCTGTGAGACAGGCGGTATTGGTATGGTTGAAGCGATCCGGTGGGGACGTGTGGGCAAGCGTGAGGTGCCCCTTAACGGGCGGCTCTCGTCTCGCGTGCATGGCCGACATCACAGTGTCGTTGAAGACATCGACTGCCTCATCCACCACCACTTGGATACAGGCGTCTTCCTCCTGGGCATTCTCGTTGGCAGGGAGATCGAAGGTCTGGCGATGGAGAGTCCTTTGGGGCCTGCCCTCACACGCATGCCGTTGTCATGTTTCTCGGTATACGGCTTGATGACTCCCTTCAGGGGCCCCGCCCGCACCCGGAGTGGTCTAACGCACACTGCATACTCGTTTTGGGGATGAGATTGAAGGGGCCCTGGCACACACACACACACAAACAAATAAATACACACAAATAAAAGGATTCGCAATATTTTCCCCCATTTTTGGGGTCTCTGCCTTCCCCCCCACTGCCCATATTTTCCAAATTTTTAGGGAATCGACGATTAGTTGTGTCTGTGTGTTTTTTTTTTCTCCTCCTGAGAGACGCATGGAGGATTACCTCATGTTGTGGAAGGGCCCTCCGGCGCTCACGTCCGCAGAAATCGGCATCGTAGCGAAGGCGTCTGGGGCCCAAGCGAAGGCTCGGCACCGGCTCCCCCCCGAGCCGGACACCTCCTCCACCTTCGCAGGGGTCGACATTGGCACGATGCTTGACGGCACCGTTCGCACGAGGCCGTCCACTCGGCGGTGGACAAACCTCCCTTTCGTAAATCTCCCCTTAGAGAAAACGGCCTGGGACCGAAACAGACGGACATGGACCCGCAAAAATGACGGCCGCGACGCCCTCTCGCGAACCGAAAACGGCCAATTCCTTAATCGACGTGTCAGGGCAGGAGGTCTATCCACCTCCGATCCACAAAGGCTCCTGGAGCTGAGTCCCACGCAAGCTTCATGCCGTACTTCAGCTACGTCGCGCCCTCTGTCAAGAGGGCCCTGGTGCTGGGTGCGGTGGCACGGGTCTGGACCCACACGAGGCCGACGGACGAGGAGGATGAGGTCCTCCACGCTTTCACAGACCACCTCCGTCGCTTCTCTGGCTACCCCCCGGGAATTGCTGGAAAAGTGGGTCTGGGAGGGCGTGAGCGCGCCAGGCCAGTAGTCTCGCCACCTGCGACGAGGTGGCCCCCCTTAGTCCCTCCCTTTTCCTCCTCTTCCCCCTCCTCCGTCCTTCTTCTTCTGCTCCCCCTTCGGTCCCTCCCTCCTCCTCCTCCTCCTCCTCCTCCTCCTCCTCCTCTTCCTCCTCCTCCTCCTCCTCCTCCTCCTCCTCCTGCCCCTCCCCCTTCCCCCATCCCTCCCACCCCATGTTTCAGGCGACCCGCTGAGGACATGGACGGTGGTGGAAAAAATGTTACCATCTCTATGTGATGCCCGCGGTGCCGGTCACACGGATGTGGTGCAAGTTATCGTCCTCCTTCGCCTCCTCTTCCTCCAGGGGGGGGGGTCTGACTGAAGCACCCCGCCAGGGACAGGTCGGCAGGCTGTCGTAACAGCGCCGCTTCGGGACGATCCGGTGATCCCCATCGGCGGTCGCCGGGCGAGGGGTGTGTGGGTTGGGGGGGGGGTTCTTGTGGTTCCCCTGAGGCTTGCTTGACGCCTGCCAGGAACAGGTCCGGAGCTGGACGCGGGAGGGGAAGGGAAGGGATGGACACCTTGGCACTTCGTCCAAAAAATCCCGACCACCCCTGACGCGGTACGTGCGGCGTCAGGGGGGAGCGGCCCGCACACCCACTCTCCCAGCATAAGGGGAGGGTGCGAAGTCTCTGTGTGCGGGACGGGGTGGGCAAGATGGGACACCGTAGGTCCCCCAAACATCAAGGCCCCGACGCCATACGCCTGGCCGACACTTCAGGGGAGGCACCACACGTCTCCCCGCCAATGTGGAACTTTGCGTCATGCGCGAAATAATCCGTTTACTGTACGGTTTCATAGATTTCAAGGTTTTCTCTTCCTCCTCCTCCTCCTCCTCCTCCTCCTCCTCTCCTCCTCCTCCTCCTCCTCCTCCTCCTCCTCCTCCTCCTCCTCCTCCTCCTTTTCCTCCTCCTCATGCTGCCTCCTCCTCCTGCTGCTGCTGCTTCTCCTCCACCACCTCTTCCCTCCTCCCTCCTCCATTCTCCCCCTCCTCCTCCATCCTCCCCTTGCTCCCTCCCCCCTCCCTCCCCCGCCTCCTCTTGGGCGACGGGCGCGGCCACTCACCACGCGATGGCGCAGCATGAAAGCCACGATGAGCGCCTCCGCCGAGGTGCGAGAGCCTGGCGAGTGTTGAGGGAGGAACGAAAGCAGTATCATTGACACGCTGCTGCGGGAAACCCATCAGCGTCCTTTCGTCTAACAAACCACCTGATATCAGACAAAAACGAAGGAGCAGCAAGTCGACGGTTTCCCAACGGCGGTACCGCAGGTTCGTGTCGTGGATCCAGACACCACGGGGATCGTTCAACCTTGAAAGATCGGCCGTTTCCGAAACGTCAGATCGTTCAACATCGACCGATTCTGGGTTGCCGGCGGCGTTCAACGTTGACGCCGGCGGCGGGATCGCCGCTGGTCGACACGACGCGAACCTACGTACAGTACTTCACCCTCGGAAGCGTCCAAGAGGGCGTCCCCAAAGGGGAGTTCGCAGATCGTGGCCCGAGGATGCGCGGACGAGGGTGGAGACCGTGGGACGTGTTGGAACAAAAACGAGGAGGCCATGAAATCCGAAGAAATACATCATTGCACCGGCAATGATGTCCCCCCCCCCTCCCTGGTCACCACCCCCCTCTCGTGGACGCCCCTGACCCTTCGCCTGCCCCGCCGCGGCGAAGTCACCCCCCCGCCCCAGGAAGGGAGCCGTGGAGGAATGGCGGCGGGACGAGAAAGGCATCTGACATTTTTACCGGGCCTGGGCCCGGGCCCGGGTGCCCGGGTGCCCGCGGGTGTCCAGGCGCCCGGGTACCCCGGTGGGAGGAGGGGGAGGAGGAGGAGGAGGAGGAGGAGGAGGAGGAGGAGGAGGAGGAGGAGGAGGAGGAGGAGGAGGAGGAGGAGGAGGAGGAGGAGGAAGAGGGGGGAAGGGGGAGGGAGAGACACAAAATCAGTGACAAATTGATGCCACGCTGCTGGTTCGCTGACACATTGCATTACTGCTGGTTCAGACGTGAGGTGCGGAGCGACGGCTTTGCATGAACACTTGGCCCATTCATGTCTGGGCCAGCCTCTAGGACGACCGCGCGCGTCTGTGGCTGGTCGCGCGCTTCCTGGTTGGAAGGTGAGGCGCCGCAAAAAAGTCTGAATTTGTCGCCCTGCATCATTTGCCAAACCACAACAGTTGAGACCTTACGAGCTGCACTGTGTAGAGCTGCTGGCCTGATTGCAACAGCACCTGTTCGTGGCAAATGCTTGAAAGGTAAACGTGGGGTATTGCAAGATGCGACGCAGGCACCTCGCATGGAAGCCATCTAACCTTCGGCGTTCAGATTTGTTGAGCCACGCCGAACTCAGCGAGTACATAACTTTACTTGTTACTACCGCTTGGCCTTCTAACAACAGTAATTGACGAATGTTTCCAGGCGCGCGCATATTTGCAGAACTCACCCCAGGCAGTTCCCAATCCTCTGCTCAATTATCCAGATCATTGCCGGAGCTAGACAACGTGGCTCCAAGATATACCATCGAATCTCGTGGTTGGACTCGATCACCACTAGGCGTGCAGACTTGCTGTCGCAGCGAGCCGGCATAAGTTGAAACTTGTTCCAGTGTAGCTCCGTACCCACCCGTGCTCCTGCGCGAGCGATCTCTGCGAGCTGGGCTTGAAGCTCATCTTGGTTGCGGCGCACCAACAAAGTGTCATCCGCATACAAAAATATAGCCAAAGACTTGTCCGTCAAAACAACTCTGGAGTACATATACTATGTAGTCGATCCCCTACTCGACTGATGCGCACTCCATCCCCCGACCCCCATCCTCCTTACCAGCCGCAAGCAGGTCTACTAGGTGTAGGCACTCCGCCGCCGCACGCCGATAAAATTCATACTCGAGAGTGGGGGGCGCGGACAAACTTATGGGTCACTGCTGGCTTCAACGCTCGAACAGACCAGCGCGCGGAGGAAAAAACAAAAAAAAAAAAAAAAAAAAACAGCAGCAAAACGCCTGGACCAGATGCTCACCGTGCGGCGAGCGCCGCCGCAGCTGCAATAAAGCAGGAACAAGATTCAGCGGCGTGTGCCAGATGGGCCAAGCGGGGGGCAACCCGAGGTGGCGCTGGGGCCCAAAGGCACACAACTAAACAGACACATTTCCAAGGATTCACCGACCTTTTGTAGATGTTCTGGATGTTCGTCTTCCCCCCCATTTCCAATATGTTCCATCGATTTCCCTGGGAATCGACGAGTATCCGTGTCTGTGAAATGTTTGTCCCTCCTGACTCAGCTCAACTAGCCGAATGACCACTCGAAGCCAGCAGGGTCGCTGACTTCCAAAGTGGCTCGCCGAGGCGGTGGCGGCGAGACATTCCGTCGACCTCACCTCCCCGCTCGGGCACAGCCTGCACTGACCAGCGACGATGCCCGGCACGGTGCACGGACTTTCTGCAACGCGCTTGATCCCGACCAACAGTGGGGAGGCCAAACCGCACCGATACAGCTACTCCCCAGACCTCTCCTTGGGCGCGTTCTGACCACGATTTCGAGACGGAGCCCGCAGCGGCGACGAGGGCCGCCCAGGAGGCCGAAAAAGGGGAAAACGGGCGAAGGGTAGCGGTATGGGTCCCTTGTCCTCCTCGGCAAAAAGGGCCAGGTATTTTAAGGGGAGGGAGTCAGACGGGGGGGGGGGAGCGGCGAGGGGGCGGGGGGGGGGGGGGGAGGGGGGGGGAGGGAGAGGGGAGGGGAGGAGGGAAAGGAGGGGGGGGAGGGGAGGGGGCGGGGACAAGGTAGGTGCGCTCGCGTCACATCTGACGTCCTACTCCTCCCTCCCATCCCTCAACTAGTCTAGCGTAGATCTCTCTAGTCGCAGTGTCGGATGTCGCAGCAGGTCACAGCATTACATGGCATAGCATGGTGTTGAAGATCAACGCGTAGCCTGACATAGCATGGCGTGGCGACGCCCCAAAAGTGTGGGGGGGGGGCGTCTGCGGCCCAAAAAAACAAAGAGTCGACACCGAATGTGGAATCACTTCCGATGGTTGTTTCGGTGGGAAATGTTCTAGACTTTGGGGCCTATTTGAAGGACCGAAAACCATGCCGTAGCATGGCGCTGGAAATGAAGACGCCAGAGTTGCAACGGGAGCACGAATCGGAACGAGCGGAAGCGCGGCGGGAAGGACGCCAGCGCTGCAGCGGGAGCACGATTCGGAGGACGCGTAGCCTGACATAGCATGGCGTGGCGACGCCCCAAAGTGGGGGGGGACTTCTGCGACCCAAAAAATCAACGATTCGTCACCGAATGTGTAATCACTTCCGATGTTTCTGTTCGGGGACATTTTCTAGATTTTGGGGCCTATCTGGAAGGACCGGAAATCATGCCGTGGCATGGCGCTGACAATATTGACGCCACCGCTGCAGCGGGAGCACGATTCGGAACGAACGGAAGCGCGGAAATGAGGCCAGCGCCGCAGCGGGAGCACGATTCGGAACGAGCGGTAGCCCGAAATGAGGCCAGCGTTTCTGCGAGAGCAGCATTTTGAAGAAAAAAAGAAACAAATATATATATATATATATATACACATATATATATATATATATATATATATATATGTATGTATGTACCTATCGTGAAACTGTGGAGGAAGGAAAGGGGTGGGGAGGGGGGCTGTAGGAGGAGGGGGAGGGGGGGGGGACAAGCTAGGTGCGCTCGCGTCATATCTGACATCCTACCCCTCCCTCCCATCCCTTACCATGGCGTAGATCCCCTCTCTACTTGCACAGTCGGATGTCGAGCAGGGCAATGATCCCGAATGGGTACGCGATGCATTGTAGAGCACGGCATGGCATGGCGTAGAAGAGCACCGCAAAGCGTAGTATCAACCTAGCATTGCATGCCGTGGCATGGCACGGGAAATGACGCCAGCGCTGCAGCGGGAGCACGAGTCGGAACGAGCGGAAGCGCGGAAATGAGGCCACCGCTGCAGCGGGAGCACGATTCGGAACGAACGGAAGCGCGAAAATGAGGCCAGCGCCGCAGCGGGAGCACGATTCGGAACGAGCGGTAGCCCGAAAATGAGGCCAGCGCTTCTGCGAGAGCAGCATTTGGAATATATATATATATATATATATACACACATATACATATACACACATCTACATTTACATGTATATGTATACATATGTATACTTATGTGTGTATATATGGAAATTGTGGAGGAAGGGAAGGGGTGGGGAGGGGGGCTGCAGGAGGATGGGGAGGGGGATGGGGGGGATGGGGAGGGGACGGACGCGGAGGGGAGGCGAGACGAGGACGGGGCAGAACAGGCCAAGGGAGGGAAGGGAGCGGGGAGAAGGGGACAGTGGACCGGGGTGCGATCGCATCGCAGCTGGCGTTCTGTCTCGTCCGCCCATCCCTTCACATTACGCGTACTAGATTACTACTTGCCGCGAAGGAGGGGGGAGGAGTCAAGAGATGTAGAATGATGGCGAGGAGAAGCGAGGGCAGATGATGACAATCACGATGAGGGACCAGCACAAGGGACCGAACGTCCTTGACATCGAGAGGAACGCAAGATAGGATACTGCAATCACAGCACAGCTAACGAAGGAAGGCGGAACGTCTTCATCATCATCGCGGTCCTCCCCCTCTGTGCCACCACACTCCTGCGCTTCGGATCAACGGGGTGGAGGTGGAAACGAGCAAAAATGGATGAATCTTAGCAGCATCCGTAAAATGATGAAACGGGTGCGTGCGCGCACTTCGACGCAAACAAAAACAAAGGAGAAAGAGCTCGCGGGCCAAATGCGTGTTAGAATCGCCTGTCAGAGGTTCTGAATCACTGCATATTACCAGACCGCGACCGCGCAGCGGCCTTCGGGGGACTCTGGGAGACAAATACCCCGCCACGGTCCCTGCAAGGGCCCGGCAAGTACCCGTCAGGGGTGCTCGAGCTCCTGGGCGCGGGCTCCCGTTCCCCTCTGCAGCCCCAGGAGCGCCCCAAGGGAGCTCCGAGGCAGCCTGAGAGACACCAGCGGTCGCCCAGGAGCGCTCCCAAAAGGATGGCCCCAGGGCGTCCCCGGGGGCCCCCAAGACGGCCCAAGAGGCTCCACAGGACGCCCCAAGGGACCTAACAGGCAAGAGACCGGCGACCCCCGCGTGCCCGAAGTGAAAAGGCGTGCACAGTGGAGGCCAGTCCACAAGAAACATTCCACAAGAAACCCAACCCTGAGTCCCCAGGACGTCCATTGGTTTTTGGCGTTGGAACGTCACGCCCTACATAGCAAAACCATCGCAACCCAAGAAGCCCAGGGCGCCCTGGAGGCAAGCAGGGTGGTTCTTCTTGGCAAGGGCCTCCACTGTAAGGCACGCGGCTGTCCCCTTCCCCCTGCTTCCCGCTCCACCCCCCCCCAAAAAAAATCCCGTTTGAGAGAGAGGGGCGAGCCCATCAACGAAACTCTTGGGTTCCCAGGGCTTCCAACTGCACCCGTCGACGCCTGAGAAGCTGCCCAGGCAAAGGTGGACTCCAGCACGCCGAAGAGCCCTGAAGCATACCCAAGATGGCTTCGAGACGGCCAGGGAGGCCCCCGAGACGCCCCGAGAGAACGCCAGGAGAATCCCCCACAGAAACCATAAGTCCCACCTGCCCTGCGGGCGCAGGTCGTCTAATGAGATTCCTCTTCCCTCTTCCCCCAGGAAGAGGTTTATCCTTGTTCCTTATCACTATATACCCCCACCTACCTCGTACTCCGGCCGATAGCGACCCAATCCGGGACCTCCCATCCGGACTGTAAAAAAAAATACAAAGTGGCCGTTTTTCTTCTCAGCATCGTCTTTCTTGTCGTCGGCGATGCGAAAAGCGTGGCAGGAATGGGACGCGGCGCACATCGCGCGCGGCAGTCAATCTGGGCCCGCCCATCCTGACTGCAAAAAATCCGCCGACCCCTTGGGGATCATCGGCGTGTGAGATCTTCCCCCTCCCCAAACCCCTCCCCCGGGAGCCCGGTCCGGTCGATTTGGAGGGGGGGGGGGTCCGGCCAAATTCCCCGATTCCCCCGATTCCCCCGATTCCTCCCGGGGGGTCATCCGCTCCCGAAAATCCTGCAGGGACTCCTCCGGTGGCCTCGAAATGGCCCCAGGACGCACCACGACGGCTCAAGAGGACATCCACGTGGCCTTCGATGGCTCCAAGATTCCCCAATATGGGCTCAAAACAGCCCACGATGCCTCGAAGACGCTCCAAGAGGCCCCGAAGGGGCGCTCCAAGAAGGTCCAAAGCAGCGGAAATCATCGATTTTCCGTTGGGAAACGTACATTTTTAGCATCGACGACTTTTCAGCCTGCGCGGAGTTCCAGCCAGTCTAAGAGGCCCCCAAGGCCACCCCATGACGTCCCAAAAGGGTCCCAAAAGGCGCCCAAGACGGCCCAAAGCGGCGCCAAGACGGCCCCAGAGGCTCCCGAATCGGCCCAAAAGAGTCCCAAGACGGCTCCTAGAGGGGCCCCAGCGGCGGAGCCCGAACCGAAAATCGGAGCCCTCCGCTCCCACCTGGCCCTGGGACACCCCACGAGCCGCCCAGAAGGTCCCAAGAGACCCCCAAAAGACTTCCAAAAAGCGTCCGACAAGCCCAAAAGAGGCCCCAAGAGGTCCCAAAACGGCTATCAGTGAACTTCGAAACTACCTCCACGAAGCCTGCGAGATGCCTCCCCAGAGATCCCAAGAGGGCCTAAACACGGGCCAAGAAGGATCCCCAGAAGCCTCCAAGACGGCCCACGAGAGCTCCGAGACGCCAAACGACCTCTCCAACTTCGGTAGTCTTTTCTTGCACGCGCCGCTCCTGTCGGCTTTTTGATGATTCCCCACCTGCTGCTGCTGCAAATGTTTCGTGTCCGAGAACGTTCCTTGAACGTTCCTCCGCACGCCGCGCACGTCACGTCGCACCTCGTTCTCTCGCCCCTCCGCGCATTTCCGACAAAGCATCTCCCCCGATGAATTGTGCTTCTTCTGTGCACCCGACATTTCCGCCTGCTCTTTCAACAGCGTCAGACATGTCTTGCTCGAACGCATTTAAGGGGCCGGCGGGTGTGGCGCAAGCCTGAAGAATCAATACAAAGTCTTCGCTTTTTCCTCTCAGCATAGCCTGCCTTGTCGCCGACGGTGCGAAAGATGTGGCAGCAATGGGACGCGGCGCACATATGGGACGCGGCGCACATCGCGCGCGGCCGTCAATCTGGGCCCGCCCATCCTGACTGAAAAACATCAATACAAAGCCTCCATTTTTGCACTCAGCATGGCTTGCCTTGTCGCCGACGGTGCGAAATATGCGGCAGGAATGGGGCGCGGCGCACATCGCGCGCGGACGTCCATGCGGGCTGCGGGCCCTCCCATCCTGACTGTAAAAAACAATACAAAGTAACACTACCACTACCACTACCACAACCACTACTACTACTACTACTACTGCTACTACTACTACTACTACTACTACTACTACTACTACTACTAACTACTACTACACTACTACTACTACTACTACTACTACTACTACTACTACTACTACTACTACTACTACTACTACTACTACTACTACTACTACTACTACTACTACTACTACTACTACTACTACTACTACTACTACTACTACTACTACTACTACTACTACTACTACTACTACTACTACTACTACTACTACTACTACTACCACCACGCGCCAGCACCCGGTTGCGCCAGCATTGTTTCTTATGTTGTGGGAGGGCGGAACGTGTCCGTTGTTCCTTTCAACATGGCCAGTCTTGTCGTCGACAATGCGAAATGCGTGGCGGGAATGGGACGCAGCGCCCATCCCGCGCGGACGTCAATGCGGTGTCCTGGGGTATCCTCCACTCGCACTGAAATGCCCGCGCAACCCCCAGTTGTGCCACCACTGTTTCTCATGTTGTGGGAGGGCGGGTGGGAATGGGCATGCCATGCTTAACTCGCTCGAGCTGGCTAGCTTGACCCCTCCCCTTACCCCTTCCCTAATTTTTTTTGTTTGGGGGGGTCCGCGAAGTGTCAGGGCGTCTAAAAAGGCCTCGGCGAGGAAGCCAAAATCATTGGTTTTACCACGGTTTTGGCCCCATGCTGGCCTGTTTGGGGGGGGGGGGGCGAACGTTATACCACCACCTCCTCCTTTGATCGATGGCCTTCAAGATGGCCCCAAGAGGCCTTCCAGGGCTCCCAAGGGGGCCCCAAGAGAGCACCATGAGGGCCCCAAGAGGGCGAGAGAGAAACATGAAAATGCGATTGGCATCCTTTGGCCTTGCCGCATGCTCCCCGGCCTTTGGCCGGGCGTGCGTGGTCAGCCTGCTCAGAGGCCGCCGCGGCAGTTTTGCAGTGCGTGCCGGCGCCTTAGCTGAGCCACAATCACCCCGCCCACCCACCCATGAGGAAGGACGGGCGTCGACCGGGCCGCCGCTTGCGCCGCCGCCGCCGCCACCGTCGGAGCCAGGCGGAAGGATCAAAGAGGGGGTGGGGAAAGTCCGCCCGCCGCCGCTGCCGCCGCGGCGTGGGCCGCGGTTTCCTGCTCCACGCCGTCCGCCTGAGGGGCGTCAGTGTTTTCTTTGGGTGGGGGCACGCGCCCTACACAAGACACCGTCTTGGCACCGCGCCAGGACGCCCAAGAGGGCCCCAAGACCCCTAAGAGGCGATTTTGAAGGCTCCAAGGGAAGGGGCCGAAATCGAGGACCCCCCGTCTTTTGATCGACCTCCTCATCCTCCTCCTCTTCCTCCTCATCTCCCCATCGCCCCCACGCGGCCCCCAGGGATGGCCCGAAGAGGCCTTCCATGACCACCCCGTTGCTCCCAGAGACTTCTCGGTTCATCCTGGTTGCTCGTTCTGCTTCCCTATGTGTCCCTTCGTGAATTTTCCCAGCAACTCTCGTGGGCAGGGTTTCTGAATGGGCTGGTGGGGATACCGCACTCGGAGACGCCGGACGCCGTCCAAGAATCGTAGCTAGCGGGCTACGAACGACTTGCGCCACAGGAGGGACTGGTGGGGATACTTTTTTGTCTGCGGGCTCGCGAAGCAGGTCGAAAGCCTTCCGAACTCTAGTCGGGCCGCAACTAGGCAGCAAGAAAAGAAAGGCAAGCGAAGCGATCGCGCGGGCAGCCACTCAGAGGAAGAGCCAGAAACGAAACACCCAACCCGGTGGCGTGGAGATCCCGGTGGCGACCAGCAAGTAAGCGCAGCCAAAATGGCGCGGCGGCGCGACCATGAGCACGCAGAGGTCAATCACTCGGTGTGAGCCGGCACGGGGCACCGTCAGAGACGAGCAGGACTGACAGGCACACCCGGACGACGTCCGCGCCGTAGGCGACACAACTGCATCGTGTCAGCGCAAGAATGAAGAGGGGCAACCTCGTCACAGATAGGACTGCAAACGGCAGTACCTCTTGTTTGTACAGCAGTGGCACACGTCGAAAGCGAAGTCCTCGCAGGAGAAAGCAGCCGACGGGCGCACCGAGCCACACATGCCGAAGCCCAAGCACCGTGGGGGTCGGCAGCGTGCGAGACCCCACTGAACCCTTTCGGTCACCAGCGGAGGCCCACACCAGCCAGGAGCAGGCCAGGGGCCACCTGACCGCCCTTTCCCATTGTGATCCATGCATGGAACTCGTAGCGAGACCCCACTGAACCCTTTCGGTCACAAGTGGAGGCCGACACCAGCCAGGAGCAGGCCAGGGGCCACCTGACCGCCCATTCCCAGTGTGATCCTCGCATGGAATTCAGGCTGTCAGAGCACCACCAGACAGCAGTATTGGCGGCAACCCCAACCGCGCGGGATAAACCCGGTGAAACAAAGGAGAGGAGGGGAAGTGCACGCCAGGCACGGTAGGCACCCTGGTGTGGCCGCTAACCGCTGCAGCATCAGGATGCAGGGAGGGAGGAAGGGACAAAGAGACACGAAGGAAGCAGGAGGAGAGGAGGGGAAGTGCACGCCAGGCACGGAAGGCACCCCAGTGTGGCAGCTAACCGCTGCAGCATTAGGATGCAGGAGGGGAGGGAAGGAAGTGCACGCCAGGCACACGGTGTAAGAGGAAGGGGGGCAGAAATTTAGACTCGAGCAGTTGATGCTGACAGGGACAATCACGGTGGGTTGCCAGTCCACATACCCGGTGTGTTTTCAAAACCGCATCTCACCGAAACTGGGTGGTGCCCCACACTCGGTGCTACTGTCGAACCGTTTCTCGGTCCATGGGCTCTCGGTTGCTCGGCTCCTCCTCCCAGCCGTGCCCAGAGCACTCCCACCCTACTGCGCGCGAAGCGTCGCGTGGCGTGAAGCGAAGCGTGAAGGATTGTTCACTGCGGGCCCCAAGAATTACACCACCACCACCACCGTTCCCCCTCCCTCCTCCGCCCTCCTCTTTCTCTCCTCCTTCCTGGGAGAGGGGGGGGGGGGGCGAGGGAGGCGGTGGTGGTGTCTATGTTTGGGCCCCGTATTGACAGAATTGCGTGTCTTCGTTTTTCAGGCTTACGAAAGCCCAGGACGCCAGACCGGCCGCAGGCGGTCCACGAGGAGCTCTCAAGAGAGCCCCCGCGACGGCCGCAGAGGGCCCTGGGACGGCCCCGACAGGCCCCCAGTGCGGCCCAAGACAGCCGAAGAGAACATCAAGAGGGCCCCCGGAGGGGCCTCCGAGGGGGAGCTCGAAGAAGCGCTGAGAGCCCCTCCCCAGAGAAACCCCCCAGACCTCCAAACCTTTCCCAAGGGACTGCGGTCCCAGAATGCCAAGAATGGTCCGAGAGGCTTCCGAAGATTCCCAAACTGGCCTCACGACGGCCCCAGTATGGTTCAAAGAGGCCCCCCGAAAGATATGTGAAAGCCTTTCCGAAGAAGCCTCCACCCTGTGTTCCCAGAAATAAACGTCTGCAGCACGACCAAGACGCTATCGCACCCTTCAGAGCCAGGCCGTCGGATAGCTCCAGAAGGGGCCCACAACAGCTCCATGATCTCTGGCAGCTCACTCCTCCCTCTCCTCCTCCTCCCCCTCCTCCTACTCCTCCCTCTCCTCCTCCTCCTCCTCCTCCTCCTCCTCCTCCTCCCTCCTCCTCCTCCTCTCCTCTCCTCCCTCCTCCTCCTCCTCCTCCTCCTCCCTCCCTCCTCCTCCTCCTCCTCCTCCTCCTCCTCCTCCTCCTCCTCCATCCTCCTCCTCCTCCTCCTCCTCCTCCTCCTCCTCCTCCTCCCTCCTCCTCCTCCTCCCTCCTCCTCCTCCTCCTCCTCCTCCTCCTCCTCCTCCTCCTCCTCCTCCTCCTCCTCCTCCTCCCCCCACTCCTCCTCCTCCTCCTCCTCCTCCTCCTCTCCTCCTCCTCCTCCTCCTCCCTCCTCCTCCTCCTCCTCCTCCTCCTCCCTCCTCCTCCTCCTCCTCCTCCTCCTCCCTCCTCCTCCTCCTCCTCCTCCTCCTCCTCTCCTCCTCCTCCTCCTCCTCCTCCTCCTCCTCCTCCTCCTCCTCCTCCTCCTCCTCCTCCTCCTCTTCCTCCCTCCTCCTCCTCCTCCTCCTCCTCATCCTCCTCCTCCCTCCTCCTCCTCAATTCGTTGTCCTTACAAATAACTCTTCCCTGTCGCACCCCGACGCCAGTCGAAACGGCGGGCCAGGCGTGTCTCCCGAGACTTCCTCACCACTGAAGGCCCTGATGCTTACAGATCGACACCAGTTTCACAAATGGAGGGCAGGTCGTTTTCAAAATGTGGTCCACAATACAGCGCCGCGCACATTCGTTTTAAAACTTGCAGGTGCTTCACGCATTGAGGGCGTGCCGTCTTGATTTTGTTTTCTGTTCAACCCCAGAGGTTCCTGGGATCATCCAGGGCCTGGGCTGAGGGGCCTGTGTGGGAGCGAGGTGGGCTCCCACACAGGCTGAAAACGAAAGACAAACTTAGTCTGAAGATCCCGACTCATAGCCTGAGTGCTGAGGCCTCTCCGAGAGCTCCCCGCGAGAGGCTTCCGCCTGCCTCAGCACCGCTCTGGCCAGGCCCGCGGCAACCGTCCTCTGACGGGCATATTCCTCAGAGTCGGTGTCCACGGGAGGGCCCAAGGGGTCAGGGAGGTGCTTGCATGGGCCTCTGACGAGATGGTTCAAGTCCCTGGGGTCGAGGGGGCATTACACCGCCACTCCTGCCCTCTTGGGGTGTTGGCCACGGGCAACTGCCGACCAAACTCTCTTACCGAAACGGGTCGGAGTGCGCATACACTTCTCCCACAATCCTTTGAACCTGCCGTGAGAAGAGTAGGAGAGCGCAGCAAAGCGACCGCCAGAATCGTGCGCGCTCCTCTGGGGAGCCCGGGGAGCCCAGCGTGAGCAGAAGGCAGGACCCTATGGTGTTCTGGGCCCCGCAGGAGAGGAATGGAGGAGAAGGGGGAGAAGGAGGATGGGTAGAGGGCACTATGCGGAGGAGGAGGCGCGCGCGCAACGTCGGCATGGGTCTTGTCTGTGCTCGATGACTGCATGCCGGGCGGAGGAAGAGAGAGGGAGGAGGGAGGAGGAAGCGGAGGAGGCAGGAGGGGAGGAGGACCCCGTGCTGCAAGGGCCCCGCAAGGGGAACCCGGCGCCGTCGGGGTCCTCGCTGCCGCCGCCGCCGTGCCGCACGAGCTGGCCACAGTGCTCTGCAGTGTGACGCCGCACGGCAGCGTAGAAGGCCGGCCTGTCCCGCCGGAACTGGGAGAGTGCCTCGGCGAGAGGGGGGACCGAGGAGAAGAGCGAGGAGCGGGGTGGAGGAAGGGGCAGAGGAGGCCTCCTCCTCCTCCTCCTCCTCTTCACCCTCCTCCTCCTCCTCCTCCTCCTCCTCCTCCTCCTCTTCACCCTCCTTTCCTCCTCCTCCTCCTCCTCCTCTCCTCCTCCTCCTCCTCCTCCTCCTCCTCCTCCACCTCCTCCTCCTCATCCATCCTCCTCCTCCTCTCCTCCTCCTCCTCCTCCTCCTCCTCCTCCTCCTCCTCCTCCTCCTCCTCCTCCTCCTCCTCCTCCTCCTCCTCCTCCTCCTCCTCCTCCTCCTCCTCCTCCTCCTCCTCCTCCTCCTCCTCCTCCTCCTCCTCCTCCTCCTCCTCCTCCTCCTCCTCCTCCTCCTCCTCCTCCTCCTCCTCCTCCTCCTCCTCCTCCTCCTCCTCTTCCTTTTCCTCGTCCTCGTCCTCGTCCTCCTCCTCCACCTCCTCCTCCTCCTGCGCCTCCTTCTCCGCCTCCACCTCCTCATCCCACATCCCTCTTTGTCAGTGACTCCTCCGTGTCGCACCACCGAACGTGTCGTCAGAGCGGTCGAGGTTGTTGTCCTGAAAGCTCCTCAGATATACGGTCCATGATATTGAAACGCTCAAGCAATACGCCAGTGGAAAGCGGGTACATCTCAAAACGCGGCTCTCACCTCAGCGCCGCGCACATTCGTCATAGAAGCTCCAGATCACTTTGCGGAAGGAGGGGTGCACTCAAAATGTGGCTGTCGCCCATGCGCCGCACACATCCGTCTCAAGAATCTGCAACATTCACACGGATGCACGGCAGTACCTTTCCAGAATGAGGATCCCACTTGCAACTTCCTGCAACATATTACCAGGCTAAGCTCGTGCACGGATGTTGGTCGGTTCTGTACACTTCATTGCTGGACTGTATGAGATCCTACCACTGCGCATTTTGCAGCGCGAGGGATGAGGCGGTCCTTTATCAAAACGAGGCTCTTACCTGAAGGGCACACAAATCGGGAGCTCGATTCTCAATGGCGCGCTTCCTGAGCTTGACGGGACCTCTGTGGGCAGGACTTGGGACAGAATGGCGCATTGCAGCATCGTCCTCATCCGTTTCTTCCTCCTCCTCCTCCTTCTCCTCCTCCTCCTCCTCCTCCTCCTCCTGCTGTCCTCCTGCTCCACCCCTTTTCCTCATCACTCGCATCGGCGACCCCAGGCGCGAACGCGAGGCAGGCGGGAAGGGGAGAAAGGGGAGGGAGAAACGGAGGAAGACGGGAACGGGCAGGGGGCAAGCAGGAGGGCAAGGGGAGTGGGAGATGGGGTTCGGACCAAGCGGAGTTGAGGGCCAGCTTGCCCTTCCACTTCCACATAGTCCATCTGTCTTTGGACGGACCGGGACGGGCGACGGTGCCTGCGAGCCAGAACGAAAGAGGCACAGAAATCAGCCGGCACTGGCATAGATGTACGCAACCCCCCCACTCCTGCTGGTCCTCTTCCAGATTCTCCCAGCCGTCTTGGTCTATCTCCTCCCTCTCCTCTCCCGCCTCGTCTTCCATTGAATAGCCGTGAGGAGGTGTTGACCCACCGGCCGCGCATCGCTTACCGAACCGGGGGCCGGTACAAATCCCAATCCCCTCGCGAGTGTTCGTCACAAGCCCTCGACCGTGGCTTCCCCTGGGAGCGTCACATGTGTTCTCACGTTCTCACTGCCGTCACGCCGCCTCACCGCAGTTGGCAACGCCACGCACGACCAGACGGCTGGAGGAGGCGCTCCGCACTCGAAGCAGCCCCGAATGCCGGCGGCGCGAGCCTGCGACCGAGGACTCGGCAAAGCGCCCAAGAGCGAAGCGAGAGGGGGCAGGCCTTCTCAAAGGCTCGGAAAGCCTCCAGCCTTCCGAGAAGTCGTCGGCACAAGCCTTCCCCGAAGGCGCGGAAAAACTCTCGAAGGCGTGACGGCTTCTGACAAGCCCCGCCGCCTTGTGAGACGGCCTGCTCTTTCCCGCTTCCCCCCCGGCCGCGCCGCCGGTAGATGGTGCGGCAGTCGCTCACGCGCCAAGGTGTCGAAATTCCATGGCTTCCCTTAGGTCAAGGTGCAGCCGAAGGAGACCACCGTCGACAAGGGGGCCGTAGGCTTGGCGGCGCGCACGAGGGAGTGGAGGGAGGGGGGAAGGCTTCGTAGAAGGAGGCTGCTTCTTAGAAGGCGCCGGCCCTGCACTTCTGTATTAGGCCAGCGCACTCTAAGAAGAAGAGGTGCTTCTAAGAAGCCCTCTCTGCTCCCCCAACCTCCCTCTCCGCGTGGCCGATATGCACCGCAGCGGAGTTGAGCCAGGGCGAGACATACAGTGGGGGCCAGTCCACAAGAAACCTTCCACAAGAAACTCAACCCTAAGACTCCAGGACGTCCATTGATCTTTGGTGTGTGAGCGTTACGCTCTCCAAAACAAAACCCTCGCAACCCACAAGGGCACCCTGGAGGCAAGCAGGGTGTTCCTTCGCATGGGTCTCCACTGCACGAGCAGCCCCGCGGCACGGAGGTGCCCGACGTGAGATGTGTGTCAAGCGCGCGCGAGTGACGCGAAGCGTCTGAGCTGCAGGGCAGCGCTACTGATGACGAAGGGAGGGGGGGCGGGGCGGAGGATGAAGGAGGAGCAAAGCTTTTTTGTTTTGGCGGCGAGCAGCGAGGGGGGGGGAAATGAGATGGAGAAGGCCTTCTCAGAAGGCGGCGGGACTTCTCAGAAGCCCTCGCGCATTCCGAGAAGTTTCTCCTGTCTTCGGGGAAGGCTTAGAAAACTTCTCAGAAGGCCGGGGGACTTCCGAACCTTCTGAGAAGACATTCTCCTTCTCGCTTGCCCCCCTCGCTCACCACCGAAAGAAGATGGGGGGCGGAGGATGAAGGAGGAGCAGAGCTTTTCTGTTGTTGTCTCTCTCTCTCTCTCTCTTTCTGGCTCCCCTGCCCCCAGCACCGGCCGTGCGCGCGCGGCAGAGGGGGTCCAGGCTCGCAGGAGGAGCCAGGGGCCCGCCGCACGGGCCTCCGCGCAAGGGAGCGGGTCGCGAGGGGGGATAGGGAGCAGGAGGAAGAGGGAAAAGGGAATGGACGAAGGGGGAAGACGAGGATGGAGGGCGGGAGGGAAAGAAGGGGGCGGCGGCAGCAGCGGCGGCCTGCTGGTTCAGGCCGTGGTCGGGATTGGGATCCGTCAGCAGGGATATCACCTCCCAATACCCTTCCCCAAGTGAACAGCTGAACGGCTGCACGAACGCTCGAACCTTGAGGAAAAACGTGGACATGGAGAGGACCAGGATGACCGGCGGTGGACAAACCTCCCTTTAGTAAACCTCCCGTTAGTGAAAACGGCCTAGGACCGAAACCGACGGACCTGGACCCGCAAAAATGACGGCCGCGACGCCCTCTCGCGAAGCGAAAACGGCCAATTCCTTCATCGACGTGTCAGGGCAGGAGGTCGATCCACCCCCGAAATGACCAAAGAGCTACACCAGGACGTCCAATGCCCTTCCCCTCCCACTCCACTGCGTCCCTGGAGGCCGCCGAGCGGGGCCGGATCAGACGGGGTCGGAGGATCGCACCGCGGCGACGGTGCATCGGCGACGCCAGCATGGAGAACTCCGGGCCCCGAATCACGCCGACCCCGGGACCCAAGCCGAGCTACGCCGACCCCCCCCTGGCGAATCGGGCGCGATCCCACGACCTTGTCCGTTCTCGTCGAGGTCTCAACGGCTTCTGCAATCCCTCGACTCGCGCTGAAGCGAAAACGGTTTGCCCTGAATTTCCCTGGAGGTCTCTGGAAATACTTGTGCGCACCAGGAAATACATACATACATATATAGATATATAGTTGTTATATATATATATATATGTATGTGGATACATCTCGATGTATATAAAGCTACCGTGATTTATCCAGATTGACCCCCACAAGACGATTGGCGAAAAACCGTCCAGCCCTTGGGGATGATCTGGCCCAAACTGGGAGACCTGAATCCACCCGCTCCGCCCCCCCGTTCCCCTCAACCTACACCCGCCCTCCCCCCACCCTCTCGCTCCACCCATTTCCTTTCGCCCTTCCCCTTCTCCGGTTTCCCCAGGGGGGGGGAGGGAGGGAGGAGAGGGAGAGGGAGGCAGGGAGAGTGAGGAAGGGAGAAGGAGAGGGAGAGGGAGAGGAAGAGGGAGAAGGCGAGGAAGAGAGGCAGAGGAAGAGGGCATGCCAGGTGCGCTCGAGCCCATGTGACATCATATCCCTTCCTCCCATCCCTTCCCATTGCGCTGAGTGCTTCTCTAGCCGCGGACGCGTGTAATAGCCGGCATGGAACTCAAACAAAAAAAGGGGTTATGCACAATTGGATAAGGAAGGCTGCGCAATTTCCATGGGGGCGAACAGCAGCAGCAGGAGCTTGAGTGGAAGGAGCGGGAGGACCAGGAGGGCCGGGGGGAGGCGGAGAAGGGGAACTGGGGGGGGGGGGGCGGGGGGGCGGGGCTCGGGTCTGGGGGGGGGGCCCGTGCTGTGGCGGCGGCGCCGCTCTGGGCGGCGGGGGCGGGGCGCCGGTCCGGGGGTTGGGCCCCCGCTTCGGCGGGAGCGCCGCTTGGGGCCGTCGTCGACGAGGGGGGTGCGGGAGGTGGCCGTGGGAATGACCACCTTTACCCGACCCTGTGCAAAAAAACTGCACGCGGGGAGAACTGGCTATCTTCCGGACGGAGTCAGGAGAGAGAGAGAGAGAGAAGAACAAGATTCATAGAGAGGGACATGAAAGAGAGTGAGAGAGGGAGAGATGAAGAAAGGGAGAGTGAGAGAAAGCAAGAGCGAGAGGGAGATGTGCTATCTATACTCGTGTGTGTATATATGATTATACTAGAAACACGCGCGCGCTTCGCGCGCGCTTAGGTTCTAGCGCAGCCCAAGCGAACATCACAGGACTGTATGAGGATAGACGTCATCCCCCAAGGATCACCATATGAGAGCGTACTTCCTGATGGACGCTTGAGGAGTCGCCGAAGAAGCAGGCAGGCCTGCGCTGGATCGAATCGCTATGACGGATCGAATCGGAAACGGGTCGCATCGCCAGCGAATCGTCCCGAACCGAATCGAGATCGGATCGCTGCGCCTGGCTCTGGCTGGCCCTGGGTCGGTGAACCGAGCCGAATCGATTCGAATCGCTCGGAATCGCGGCCCCGACTGGCGAACCGAGGCGCATCGAACCGGACCGCAGGCGGCCCGGGCAGGCCCCAAGGAGATCCTGCTGCTCTGGGCAGATGCGCCGAGCAGCTGGCCCGAAAGTGTGGCTTCCGTCGGGCCCGCGGGAGCCTCGTGGCCTGCGGACCGTCTTCCGCGGCCTCTGAAGATCTCCTGGGCGTCTCGAGTCGGCGGCGCGCGGAGAGGGCGCCCCCCGGTGCCCCGCATATGAAGGCCAGGATGGAGCACCCCAGGGCCCACCCCACAGGGCGACTCGGCCGAGAGTCGAGCCCGATCGCACCACGACTGCGTGGGGGCTAGAGCCTTCCAAGACATCTGGCTCTCCAACCTGTTCGACGCGTGGCCCTCAGAGGTCCCGACTCCTTGTCTGGGACCGGTCTTTCATCCTCAGTCGTTTGTTGACGGTCCCGAGGCCCCGTACGGGCGGGCCCTGAGAGTGGGCGGCGCGCCCGGGGGGAAACGAGAAGAGGTGGGCCGTCTCAGGAAGCTCGGAAGGTCTGACTACCTACCAGACCACCCCAACCCAACCCGAAGACCCGGATTTCGGGTTGGGAGGGGTTATGGGTTCCATACGTGTTTTTTCGATGTTCCCCGACCCCCCCCAACTGGAAATGGAGGGCAAACTGGGGCCTTCGGGTTGGGTTGGGGTGGTTTGGTGGGCGGTGAAGGTCTCCCGGCCTTCTGAGAAGTTTTCGGAGGCTTCCCCGGAGACAGAAAAAACTTCTCCGAAGGCGCGAGGGCTCATGGGGAGTCCCGCGTCCGAGAAGGCCGTTGTTGGGATGCTATGCGACCACCGTTGCGGACAGCGTCTGGGCCGACTCAAGACCGGGCAGGCGAGGCCGTGGCCTCGGGAATCTGGCGCGTCTGGACAGCATGCAATGCGAGACAACTGCGCAAAAAATGAGGAGGGACGGATGGAGGATGGTCCTTGGGGTCGGTCGTGTCAGCCTGTGTGGGAAGAAAGGAAGAAAGGAAGGTCATCAAAGGGCTGCAAGGGTCAGTCGAAGCCCTCTTGGGCGCGGCTTAGGCCGTGTTGTGCCTTGCTGGGAAGCGTCAAGATCCTGCACGACGCACGGCACCAGACAGATGACGCCGATCACTCTTCAAAATGGAGGCGAAGTCCAGCAAGACTTCGCGCCAGAGGTATGCATGCAGGGCGGATCCCCTAGCTGTTTTTGGAAAGCACCCAGGAAAGCGCACAAGGCAGCCACAAGGAGGACGCAGACACAGGGCAGCCTAGGGGGGATGCCCGAGAGCCCCTGAGAAGCTGGAAACCCATGCTGGGAGTCTCTCTGGATGCCCTTGGGGGACGCTCTTGGAGTGTCGGCGCTGACGGCTCCCCGAACCTCTAGGGAATCACCTGTAACGGCGGCATCGGGCCCGAGCGCGCCGGAGAATCCTGCCGAAAGAGAACGGCGTGACAAAGCAGAGCAGGAACGGAGCCTTCGCCCTTGCACGACGCAGCGATGGATGTGCATGCATGTCTTTGTGGAACTGCGGGAAGAAGAGTAGGGGGCGCACGAAGGGAGCGGAGGTAGACGAGCGCGTTCCACTACTCGCAAGGTAGCTACTCCCAAATGGCCTGGATCCGCCGCGGGCGATGTACGATACATTACATCGAGGGTAGCATGTGTTTTTCGGGCGCTTTCGAGTAGGCACTTTGCGAGTAGTGGAACGCGCCCAGTGAGGAGGGGCCAAGCGCAGAAACACAGAGATGCAGGCGGCATACTTTCCTGGGAGCCGACGATCAATTGCGTCTGTGCTTTTTTACCCTCCTGAGGGATAGGAGTAGGATGAGGGCCAAAGCGGCCCGGATGCCCCTGAGCGGCCGTGCTGCTGGGATGTGTGGTAGGTCGACGGCCGGCTTCGCAGCCTGGGGCCGACCGAGAGCCCGAGATCTCGGCGAGGCTCTGCCGGGAGCTCCGAGAGAGCTGGCACGTGGGGCGGAATGCTGGCCACATCGCGTGGAGCAGGGCCACTGACTTCGAATGGCCCTGCCGTCTAAACTGGCCAGGCAGCAAGCAAGCAAGCAGGCGCGGGCTGATGGTTGCGAAGGAAAATAAGAAGGAGGAGGAGGAGGAGCAGGAGGAGGAGGAGGAGGAGGGGGGAAGGGCAAGCTAGGTGCGCTCGTGTCATATCTGACATCCTACCCCTCCCTCCCATCCCTTACCATGGCGCAGATCCCCTCTCTACTCGCAGTCGGATGTCGAGCAGGGCAATGATCCCGAAAGGGTACGCGATGCATTGTAGAGCACGGCATGGCATGGCGTAGAAGAGCACCGCAAAGCGTAGTATCAACCTAGCATTGCATTGCATGCCGTGGCATGGCACGGGAAATGACGCCAGCGCTGCAGCGGGAGCACGAGTCGAAACGAGCGGAAGCGCAGAAATGAGGCTAACGCTGCAGCGGGAGATCGATTCGGAACGAGCGGAAGCACGGAAATGAGGCCAGCGCTGCAGCGGGAGCACGATTCGGAACGAGCGGGGCCCGACAATGAGGCCGGCGCCTCAGCGAGAGCAGCATTTTGAAAAAAAATGCAGGCGAAAACCCAACTCCGGGGAAACCTGTGTAAAAAAAACAATACGCAGGGGGGGTCGGACACTTTCAGGCCGTCATCAGGGGAAGAGGGAGAGTAGTATTCATATTGAATAATTGTAGAAAGGCCACAGAAGAAGAAAAAGCGTGCTCTGAGAGCTGGGAGCCCGAACAGGGAGCCGACGCCGATACTCTCAGAGTCTCATGCTCATCTGACGCCCAGCTGCTCCTCGGGGGCAGACCAAGATCAGGTGGGGCCCTCTTGGGCTGGCGTGGGGCGGTCTTGGGGGCCTCTGGGGCTGTCTTGGGACTGTCTTGGGGGCCTCTCGGATCGTCTTGGAACGTCGGAGACTCGAACAAACGAAAAACAAAAAACATTGGAAAGCCGACGGAAAATCAATGTTTTCTGGCTGTTGGAGCCCTCTTGGGAACAGCCTTGGGGCTCTCTCGGAGGGTTTCCAAGGCTTCTTGAGCCGTCTGGAGGCCATCTTGGGCGTCTTGAATGCCTCGTTCGACAACTCTGGGGCCCTCTTGGGCTGGGCCTCTTTGCGCCCTCCAGGGGCCGTTTCCGCCCGCTCAGGGGCCGGTCGGGACCGCCACAAGGGGGCCCTGGAAGCAGACCGGTGCCCAGGTCCCCCATGGAGGGTCGAGGCACTGTTTGCGGGCCCCCAGGCCTGCCCCCCCCCGGGAGATAGATATGTTTCTTCCCAAAAAATAGGGAGAGAGGGAGAGGGGAAAAAAATGAGACGGAGGAGGAGGAGGAGGAGGAGGAGGAGGAGGAGGAGGAGGAGAACGAAGAGGAGGAAGAAGGAGCAAGGTGCCCCATCCGAGATCACTGACAGCAGTGTGTTCTCAAGCGTCAGCGCGGGGCTCCACTGCGACTTCAGCGTGTCTAGGCAGATGTGGCCGCTCTCCGATATGTTCGGGTGCCTACCCCACCAGCCACGCCGAGGGAGAGTGAGGGGGGAAAGGGGAATGGGGAGGAAGGGACGAGGGACGGGAGGGAAGGCGGAAGGGAGGACGGATGAGGGATGAGAGAGGTTCGGCGGCGAGCGACGGGGGACAGTGAGAAGGAGAAGGCCTTCTCACCCCGAGGCCAGTTATTTGAGCGGGCCGGGCGTCTCGACTGAGACTTCCTCACCACTTATGACTTTGAGCTTAAAAAAGACAGCAGTCGTTTTCAAAGTGTGGCTCTCGCCTGAGCGCCGCGCACACTCGTTTGAAAACTTTGCAAGAGTTTCACGGATAGAGGGCGGGTGGTTTTCAAATTGTGGCTCTCGCCTGAGCGCCGCGCATATTCGTTTCAAAGAATGTACAAGAGCTTCACGGATTGAGGCCGGGCGGTTTTCAGAATGTGTCTCTCGCCTTAGCGCCTCCCACATTCGTGTCAAAAAATGCAAGAACTTCATGCATTGAGGGTGGGTCGTTTTCAAAATGTGGCTCTCGCCTTGGCGCCGCACCAACTCGTCTCATCGATGTGCAACACTTTCACAGATTGAGGGCGGCTCCTTTGCAAAATGTGGTTCTCGCCTTGGCGCCGCGTACAGTCGTTTCAAAAATTTGCAAGCGCTTCGCGGATTGAGGGCGGGTCCTTTTCACAATGTGGCTATCACCTTCGCGCCGCGCACAATCGTTTAACAAAAAAAAAAGTTTCACGGAGTCACATGACCAACATACCAGAAATGGCTGTTTGGAAGGATTCAGGATTATGCGGGTGCAGCAAGTATGTTGGTTCGCGGTGTTGAAAACCCAAGAATGGCGTTCTGGCACGATTCTAGATCGTCAGGACGCAGCAGTCAGGTTGATCAGTGACGTGGACATCTCAAGAACAATGTTTCGACATGCGTCAAGGTCTTCAAACGGTTGTCTTCCAACGAGGCAGTTCCCTCAAGGGAAGTGAACCGCTGTCGGGGCCTATGAAGAGGGAGCTTGGAGGGAGGGTGAATTCCAACATCGTTGATGACTATTTGGTTTACACTGGTCCTCCTCCTCCTCCTCCAACTCGTCCTCCTCCCCCTCCTCCTCCTCCTCCTCCTCCTCCTCCTCATCCTCCTCCTCATCCTCCTCCTCTTCCCTCCTCCTCCTCATCCTGATCCTCCTCCTCCTCCTCCATGCCCTCCTCATCCTCGTATTTGTTATGGTCCGTATTGTCATGCTCCTTATCCGTAGTAGTATTACTCTACTTCCTATCATTATCAATAGTCTTAGTCTTCTTCGTATGATTACGTTTAGTGCCATTCTCATTCGTCTTCGCATTCTTGTGATTCCTATTAATAGTATTACGATTTGCATTCCGAGTTGTAAGATTCTTATTCGTAGTCTTCTTATCGGTTACACTAGTAGTAGCGAGGCGACCGCAACCTGGGACCACTCTTGCCGTGGCGCCAATACGCCGATAAACCGATCTACAATATCGGTTGATCGGCGCCGATATGCCGATATGCCCATATGCCGATATGGTATATCGGCGCCTCCGGGCCGATACGCCGATACACCGATATGATATATCGGCGCTGGTGAACCGATGTGCCGATATGGAAGCCCAACTCACATCGGCATATCGGCATATCGGCGCAGGGAGGGCCGACATACCGAGGCAACTCTTATCGGCATATCGGCGTATCGGCATATCGGCGCAGGATAGGTCGACACGCCAACCCAATTCATATCGGCATATCGGCGTATGGGCCCATGGAGCGCCGATGGCGTCGAAACGGCCGCCGACCCAATCCCCGCCAGCGTATCGGCATATCGGCTGGTGGGCGGGCGCACCATATTGGAGCATCGGCATGTCGGCAGGACTGGAGGGACCAGGGGGGAAACGACCGCGCACAGCGCAGAGAACACAATATGACAGACCAGGACAAAAACCTTCACGGCCTGGCCTCCTGGGAGGGGGGTGGCGTACTCTGATGACCCACGTGGTTCGCATGGGTCCGTCTCATATCATCTCCGCATTAGCTCGATTCCCTCTTCGGTTGAAGTGCCCCCAATGTGGCCAGCATTTCAGGTGCGAGGCCAGGAAGTTATGCCAACCCCGCCGCCTTGGCCAATATCAACTGGGCTACGATCACGGGTATCGCGTGCTGTTCGAGAAGGCGACAGCAGCGCTCCAATTGAACAGTAAGAATATACTGTCCTTCAGCTCAATCCGCCGCCGCGTTTGTGTTGTGGGTCACAGTTCCCTTGAATGCCCATTGCGGTTTTTGGGAAGCCTCCTATGGCTGGCTTTCTAGGGGGTTCCTGTGGCAATCTCGGGCTTTCTCCCGGGGCGGAGGACTCATAATAACAGTTCGTGTTGCTCCTCTTGGTCCCTTGGGGGCCTTTTGCGTCGTCTTGGGGCGAACTCGGGGGCCTTTTGTGGCTGTTTTGGAGCGGCGGAAGCTTTCGGGGCCTCCTGCGCCGTCTTGAGGCCGAGCTGGCGAATCCTTGAGGGGGAGGAGGGCGGCGAGGACGAGGATGCAGAAGTCGAGAGATTAGTCGGTTCGGGTCTCTTTTGGGCCGTCTTGGGAGCTTGTCGGGACCCTATGGGCTTTTCGTTGGGCCCCCGTCGACTTCGAAACGTCACCCGGGGATCCCGAGAAAGCAATCGAACGGCACTAGAGCATCCAGGCCTCGGGGCTCTCGGCCCCCAAGCGAGGTTTTCCCATGCATGCACACGGGAGTTCCAATTCGTGCTTCGAGGCGCGGCGGCGGATTGTGCAGCCAACGAGGCCGGATTGCATTGATGCGTCTTTCTTTCGCTGCGCCATCAAATAATGGTTGTTCACGCATCGCAGCCGCCCCTCCTCCCTCGTCGTCGTCGTCGTCGTCGTCGTCGTCGTCGTCGTCGTCGTCGTCGTCGTCGTCGTCCTCGTCGTCGTCGTCCTCGTCCTCGTCCTCGTCCTCGTTGTCGTCGTCTTCCTCCTCCTTTTCCTCCTCTCCCGCGCCCCCCTCCGCGCCGCCTTCTCCCAGTGCTCATGCTTTCCCGCCCCCACCCCCCTATTACCTCCTCGTCATCCTCCACCCCGCATCCTGCTACATAGATCCTTGTTACCGCACCGCCAGGCATCTGGGCGGGGCGGACCTGGCGCTCCGCTTGAGACTCAGTTAAAACAACGGTTTTGAAAATTGAGATCGAAGCCGCTCACGGCGAATCACCGCCGCCCCTGTCGTCTTGAAAAGCGTCTCTGTGGCCAAACTTTTGCGGCCAGAGCTCGGCCAAACTATCGGAAGACGTGCCCCCGCCACCCGTTGAGTCCCGCCAGGGTGAGAAAGGAGGAGAGAAGGATAGGGAGGGAGGAGGAGGAGGAGGAGGCCTCTTGGGAGCGGGGCCTCTTGGGGCATCCTTGGGGCATCTCGGGCTTCCTTGGGGGCCTCTTGGAGACCTCTTGGGAGCTCCTGCGGGCTTCTTGGCAGCCTCTTTGGCCGTCTTATCCTGGCACGTCTGACTGGGGTCATTTCGAAGCCGACTCAGAGCCGTTTTTGAAGCAATGTTGGGCGTCTTGGAAGCCTTTTGGGCAGTTTAGTTGCTCTCTTCTGGCCGTCGTGGGGCCATGTTGGAGGCCTCTTGGGCCGTCGAAAGGCCGAAAATAAACAGACGCCACGATTTTTCATAACTTTCGCTATCGCACACGAAGGGAATCTGCCCGTCGTAACTGACAAAGATGGCGCGCCAGATCCTTTGTAGAGGGGATGGGCCCATCCGCCCTTGAAGGAGACGGGCCCCCTATCCAAGAGAGACGACTTGGCGGGGGGGGAGGAGACCAAACGGGCACAAGGGCAAGGAGCGGCCTTAAGGAGGTCTCCTGCGATCAGGTCAGGCCCCCCCGCCTCACCCCTCGTCTGGGAAGCAAAGCTCTGGGTCAGGTAATCCAGCGGAACCAGGTTATCCTGACGCTTCGAAAGGACAGCGGTAGGGGGGAACGCGATGTAATTCGCTCTTAGGGTCGTGCCATCAACCGTGCTGGCACACTCCTGGGAAGCAAGGAGCTCGTGAACGTCCGCCGCCACAGCCGCGTGGGCATCCAAAACAAAGCCCTGATCATCCAGAGGGGGGGCAAGGCGAGGCTGGTTGCATTTCCCTCTCCTCCCCCCGAAAACCAGCAACGCCTTGATGCACTGCCCCTGGGCAGCTTGGTCGCCCGCTTTAGCTCGTACGCAAAATTCCCCGGCCAGACAGTCGAGCTGCGCGACGCGGTCGAGTTCCAGCGTTTGCTAGCTCTGAGGACAATCACAAATTCCTGCAGCAACCCATCATTGCCTAGGGCCTGGTCCAGGAAGCTTCGGGGTCCGAGGCGGACACGGCTGAAGCGCACCAAATTCTCCGAGCGCGGATCTTCGACGAAGGGGTCCGAGGCCCAGAGATGAGAGGCCAGGCTCCGAAGGGCTTGCAGCTGAGAGGCCGAGGCGCTGTTCGAAACATTCCGGGTGCGACACCTAACTTGGATGAGAGCCTGGGAACCGCTAGACACGAAAAAAATCCGATGGGCGCCGCGCGGATGGGGGAAACGCCTGCATGGCAGCACCCAGGATTTGGGCCGCTGACCGCATCAGAGCGGGCGCCGGGGTCGACCCCGAAAGGGATCAGGTGGGAACGAAGCAGAGCGGCAGCATACGCCTGGCGACAGGCGGGTCGACCAAAGCCTTGGGGTCGAAACCGAGAGGGCGGCGGTGTTTCCGCTTGGCCTCCCAGGCGAGTTAGACGTAAATTGGGAAGTGATTCAGCTCAGCATTCATGGAGTCAAAATCGTGCCACGCTCCGTGTCTGGCAAAAGATTGATCCAGCTCCTCAGACAAGAGCAGATGATCGATCCTGTGGTTGGGCGGGGCATCAGAAGTCTCAGTAGGGGACGTGGTCTCGGGATCCTTTAAAGCGGTGGTGGCATACACACTATGCTCCGCCACCGCGTCACAGAGCTCGGAACCGTTTCGGCCCACTTGCTGAAGGAAACGGAAACTGCCGTCTCAAGGCAAGTCGGGCCCGAGACCAACCCGTCCGCCAGCATCGATCATGAGGATGTTGGCAGGTCAACGGGCGAAACAGCTTTTCGTTTTCTCCCACCAGGCTCTACGGGCCGGCGGGAGGCCTTGCTGCGGGGGGCGCGCAGGACCCAAACAACCTCGGTAAACGAGGGGGCCGAAATGCGGACGCCCAGCCGCCTAGGGCCCACGAGAAGGGGGCCGGCGCGGGCGGAAAAAAAACGATAGCATCCGTAGGGCACCTCAGCGTTGATCCAGAGTTCCCAGCCTTTGATCGCCCCCAGTTGCCAGCACAAAGAACTCACTCCTCCTCCTCCTCCTCCTCCTCCTCCTCCTCCCCTCACCACCACCACCACCACCACCACCATCATCATCATCATCATCATCATCATCATCATCATCATCATCATCATCATCATCATCATCATCATCATCATCATCATCATCATCATCATCATCAGCATCATCATCATCATCAGCATCATCATCATCATCATCATCATCATCGGCATCAGCATCATCATCATCATCATCATCATCATCATCGTCATCATCATATCATCATAACCATCATCATATCATCACCATCATCATCATCATCGTCATCATCATCATCATCATCATCATCATCATCATCATCATCATCATAATAACCATCATCATCATCATCATCATCATCATCATCATCATCATCATCATAAGCATCATCATCATCGTCATCATCATCACCATCATCATCATCATCCTCATCATCCTCATTATCCTCATCATCATCATCGTCATCCTCATCATCATCATCATCATCAGCATGATCATCATCACCATCATCATCATCATCATCATCAGCATCATCATCATCATCATCATCGTCATCATCATCACCATCATCACCATCCTCATCATCCTCATTATCCTCATCATCATCATCGTCATCCTCATCAGCATCATTATCATCATCAGCATCATCATCATCAACCCCCCTCCTCCTCCTCATCCTCCTCCTCCTCGTCTTCTTCCTCCTCGTCCTCCTCTTCCGCCTCCTCCTCCTCCATCTCTTCCGTCTCCTCCTCCTCCTCCTCCTCCTCCTCCTCCTCCGCATCATCATGATCATCATCATCGTCATCATCATCATCATCATCATCATCATCAGCATCATCATCATCATCGTCAGCAGCATCATCATGATCATCATTATCATCAGAAGCAGCATCGTCATCAGCATCAGCATCAGCAGCTTCATCATCATCATCGTCATCGGCATCGTCATCAGCATCATCAACATCATCAGCATCATCAGCATCATCGGCATCATCATCATCAGCATCAACATCATCAGTATCATCATCATCAGCATCATCATCATAATCAGCAGCAGCATCATCATTGTCATCATCACCATCATCGGCATCATCATCAGCAGCAGCATCAGCGTCATTATCAGCATCATCATCAGCAGCAGTATCAGCATCAACATCATTATCATCAAAAGCATCCTGATTATCATCAGCATCATCATCAGCAGCAGCAGCAGTACCATCATCATCAGCATCAACGCCATCAGCATCAGCATCAGTATCAGCATCATCAACGTCATCATCAGCATCATCAGCATTATCACCAGCAGTGTCATCATCATCATCATCATCATCATCATCATCATCATCATCATCATCATCATCATCATCGGCATCAGCATCAGCATCAGCATCAGCATCAGCATCATCATCATCATCATCATCATCATCATCATCATCATCATCATCATCATCAATATCATCATCATCTTCATCATCATCTTCATCATCCCCATCATCATCCTCATCAGCATCATCATATTGCTCCTCCTCTTCCTCCTCCTCCTCCTCTGCCTCCTCCTCCTCATCATCACCATCATCAGCAGCAGCATCGTTCTCACCATCATCATCATCATCATCATCATCATCATCATCATCATCATCATCACCACCACCATCACCATCATCATCATCATCATCATCAGCATCATCGGCATCATCATCATCATCATCATCATCATCATCATCATCATCATCATCATCATCATCATCATCATCATCATCATCATCATCATCATCATCATCATCATCATCATCATCATCATCATCATCATCATCATCATCATCATCATCATCATCATCATCATCATCATCATCATCATCATGCATCATCATCATCATCATCATCATCAGCATCACCATCAACACCACCACCATCATCATCATCAGTATCATCAGCATCATCATCATAATCAGCATCAGCATCAGAATTAGCAGCAGTATCATCAGCATCAGCAGCATCAGCAGCACAAGCGTCCTAATAATCATCGGCATCATCATCAGTATTATCATCATAATCGTCATCAGTAGCAGCAGTATCATCATCAGCATCACCATAATAAGAAGCATCATCAGCATCATCACCATCATCAGCATCATCATCAGCAGCATCATCAACATTAACATCATCATCATCATCATCAGCAGCATCATCATCGTCATGACCATCATCAAACACAGCATCATCATCAGCATCATCCTATCATCATCATCAGCAGCAACATCATCATTACCATCAGCAGCATCACTATCGGCATCATCAGCATCATCATCGTCATCATCAGCATCATCACCGTCAGCATCAGCATCAGCATCATAATCAGAATCATCATCATCATCATCATCATCATCATCATCATCATCATCATCATCATCATCATCATCATCATCATCATCATCATCGTCATCTTCTCCGCACCAGGGCAGGCGGAGCCACATCCTTGGGTTTCCCGGCGCCCCTCCAGATCTCGGTCAGAAATCTCAGCTTCGGCGGACTCATGGGGTAGTCCCCGGGGACCGCCACCTCGACCCTCCAGATGCCCGTGCTGTAGGCGGAGTCGGGCGGGCCTCGCTGCCCCACCCTCCTGTCCTCGCTGCGCTCGTCGGCATCGCCGTCAGCGTCACCGGCTTCGGCGTCGCCATCATCCTCCATCTCCTCCTCATCCTCCTCCTCCTCCACCTCCTCCTCCTCCGCCTCCGCCTCTGCCTCCTCCTCCTCCTCATCCTCCTCAGGTTACTGTCGTGATGACGCGACGTTGGTTTCTGACATCGCGTAGATGTCTCGACCTTGAGCGACCTCCGCTATCCGATAGCGGAGGTCGTTCAAGACTGGCCTCGTTCAGGCCGTGCAGTGGCGAGGTGGATTTTGACTGCGGCGGCTAGACAAAAAAACGTTCGTTTTTTCGATCGCGATCGGGGTCGTCCCAACACTGCTAGAATCGCGGCGTCGCGCAGCGCGGCCGGTCGAAACCAAACATGCTCTCGAAAGGCTCTCGAAACGGTCCCAAATGGCTTCCGTTCTGCTGATGCGATGGCCAGAAACAGATTCTGGCCCAGATCAAGATGGTGCACAGTCGGCGTCATGCGAGACAAAGGAAGTACAGAACAATCTGCCACTGCCCCGCCAGCTCGCATCACAGAGTAAGGGGCAGCGGCGCATGCCGCCTGCCGCCACATTGCCTGGGAGCGCGGGCTAGGAGGCTGGGCAGCCCGAGAGCTTGCCGCCGCTGCCCAGATCATCGAGCAAGGACTGCATATCATGGAACCTGTCGTGCTGGACGCTCCAGCTCCTACTCTCCCTCCCTCATCTCCCCCACGACTTTCTCGTCCTCATCCACCTCCGCCTCGCCTTCTCCTCCTCCTCCTCCTCCTCCTCCTCCTCCTCCTCCTCCTCCTCCTCCTCCCTCCTCCTCCTCCTCCTCCCTCCTCCTCCTCCTCCTCCGCCTCCGCCTCCGCCTCCTCCTCCTCCTCCTCCTCCTCCTCCTCCTCCTCCTCCTCCTCCTCCTCTCCTCCTCTCCTCCTCCTCCTCCTCCTCCTCTCCTCCTCCTCCTCCTCCTCCTCCTCCTCTTCCTCCTCCTCTTCCTCCTCCTACTCCTCCTCCTCCGCTACCCCTGCTCATCATCCTCATCATCGTCCTCTAACGGCCATGTTGACTGATGCCGTTAGCTATCCGTGGTGAGGGATGAGAGCTCGAGCGAGCAGCAACGCCGGTCCAAGGTGTTCAGCGGGTTTGTTGGGCGCCACTGGCGCCCCCGAATTCCCTCCCCTCCTCGTCCTATCCTCTCCTCATCTGCACTGGCTGGAGCAGAGCGAACATCTGGTGGAGCAGCTGGTGCACGCAATGTGGCATCGGCCCAGGCTGACCCTCAGCAGCCCGCCGTTGGCCCTGGTGACCAGGCATCGCACAACAGCATCAACAAGTGAAAATGCAGATCGGTTCAGGAAGTTGCCTCGACGGCACTCAATGCGAACACTGCTCGACCCCGATCGCGGAGCTCAAGCAAGCTAGAATGGAGGCATTCGCGCCGAAGTCATTCGATAATAAGTCGCAATGTTTGGCGAGGCAGATCCAACAGCACATGATGTGCCCCACATCCAAGCGGCAGATAGCCGAGATACTGCTCGACAAACTCACCATGAGGTACCAGCATGCCATCACCGCGAGCACTGAGCCCCAGAGTGAACGCGTGCAGTTAGAGGTCCAGCATCCTCTCGCAGCACAAGTCAAGGGCATAAACATGAGCTTGAGGCGCTCCGCGCGGATTTCTTGGATCTGCGCTGGACCCCCCTCCCTGGCGCCCGGAGCGCGCCACGGGCGGCGCCGGAGGCGCCTCTGGGGGGGTTGGCCCAGCGCGGATCCGAGAAATCAGCGCGGAGCGCCAACAGCTTATGTGTATGCAGTTGTTTTTCGACTGGTGGAGGGGAGAGCCCGCGCTGCTGTATAGGCAGGCGCCTCGCGCCGGACCGCCGCAGCGGCCGCGCTTGCCGCGGCCACTGCTGCCACCGCGGCCATGGCGGCATTGCGGCTTGGCGATGGCGGCACGCGGGACGGCGCCCGGGAGCCTGCCGCCGCCGGAGCATCGTGGCGGCAGCTGCAGAAGCGGGAGGACGACCTGGCGATGCACCAGACTTACGACGGCGAGAGCAAGAGGCGGAGGCCGGAGCAGGCGGACGCTGGCCGTGGGAGCGGCCGTGCAGCGCCAGCGCCCAGTCTTCAAATGACAACCTACCAGACCACCCCAAGCCAACCCGAAGACCCGAGTTTCGGGTTTGGGGGGGGGGGGGCGGGCTTCATGTGTGTTTTTCCATGTTCCCCGACCCCCCCCCCACTGGAACGGGCAAGGGGGGGGTCCGAGGCTGCCCGCGACAGGGCGACGGGGGCGGCGAGGCCTTCTTCGCCAGAACTACAGGCACGTCCAACGTTTTTCCGAGAAGGCGCGGGACATGGCCGCCTATAACGCCAAGGGAGCGACCCTTTTCGGCGGGTTCCAGCCCGCGCTGATTCATCAGAAGAGGTACTCTTTCGTGGCGAGGTTCGGCAAGGTCGGAGCCTTCGTGCGCAGCCTACAACTTCCCTGGTGTATCATCGGCGATTGCAACATAGATAACCATGCCATGGCCAAGTCTAAGTTTTGCGCAAGATGCGCGGGCATATCATGAGGTCGCCCGCGGAGTATACGTGCACGGGTGGCTCTGGGAATTCCCGCCTGGAATCATCACAGGCGCTGCCTGCGCGCCGTATATTAGTAGTGCGGAAGCCGCGTCGCACGCCCCATGGAAGCCCCATTCGGTTTGCCGATTTGCCTGCAGGGCCCAGGCCAACAATTAATGATGCGCACGCTTGTCTCAGCACCCCGCCTGCCTCGCGCGGGGAGCCCTAAGGCGGGCCCCACGGCGGGCTCCAAGTCCAGCAGGGCTCGCAGCGCCCGCCTTGCCCAACGCGAGCTCACTCGAGAGATGAACAGGTCGTTGCGCGACGAACGTATCTCTGACGCTCTGGGGCGGCCTGCCGAGGCAGCGCGGGCGACGCGGGCGCCCCCGCTACGTCCGCGCCCGCCCTCGGCGAGGAGCCGTTCGAGGGCCTTGGAGAGTTTTGTTTCGGACCCGAGGGGGAAGGGCCCATGGGCCCACGAGTCTAGGTTCCAGCCGCCAGCCAATGCATCAGCAGTTCCACCTGCGGTCTCAGCGGGGGAAAGTAAGACCCAACCCAGCGATGGTTCCGAGGTTGAGCCAAGCGGAGCTGGTAAAGGCACTTCCCACTTTCCTCCCGCTGCTGGTGCCTCTCCGCATTTCCCCCATTCCTGCTTCGATCTGGCATGTAGTGTCGGCTCAAATCGGCTGGCCTCAACACTCTCTGAATGATGTCTTGCCTGCTGCCCGTCAGTTTCCGACCTACCAGATCGCTCAGCAGCACCCACCCTCGATCAGCCATAGGTGCGGGGCATGGAGTCTGCGGAGCGCGCGATTGCTACGCATCATGAGCAGGGCCCTCCTCGGCAGTCACGGGCGCGAGGCCTTCGGCTGGTCGTGGTGCCCGTTCGCCAGGCCGCGCATGTGCGAGAGCAGCCGCTGCGCGACTTGGCGGCGACTTGGCGGCCCAGTGCTCATTCGGCGATCCAGAAGCTTCGCCGACACCGAATTCGGAAAAACGCGGCAGTTCAGACACGGCATCGCTGCACGGCAGCGGCACGGACTGGCAGCAGCGCCCCAGACAGAGCGCGCGCCATCAGATTGCGCAGTCTTGGTTCGTGGAAGGAGCGACAGCGCGATACGTTGGCCGCGGCGCGTGCGAGTGCGGATCGGACCGAGACCCTGGAGGCCTGGGCTGTTAGCTGGACTCGGGCGGCGAAGTCTCCCGCGGCCTTGGCTTCCCTGAGGGAACTTCACAAGAATGGATTGCATCAACACCAGCCGTTCGACATGTTTACGAAAGTCTGAGGGGGCCCCAGACTGTCTCTGACGAACTGCATCTCGGCTAGCAGCGCATCGATCACCCGCTGGGCATCATTGACGCGAAGGCGCAGAAGTATCACGGCCCTTGGCGTTCGGGTTCGTCTTTCAGCATGGTTGAGGATGAGGATACATGCAATTAAATCCGGGGGCGCGCTGTCACTGAGCCCCCGGCCCCCATCACCGCGGGCGGCCCGCGTGCTGGACGAAGAGCAAGTCTGGATCAGGGATAGACCAGCCACCCCCAGCCGACGCGGAGAGACTCCCCGACGTCGCGCTTGAGGAGCTACGTCAACTGCACCAGATGATCGAGGAAGGCCTGCCTCGGCCGCGGCGAGTCACGACGGCGATAAGCCGCACTCTTGGGAGAAAGGAACGGCGGCGACAGAATGATTGGTCCTTTGGCGATGTCTCGTCGGATTCGGTCGATGCGTCGCGAACGTTCGATATGGCAGCGGGCCATCGAGCGGGGGCCTGCGCGGGGCGCGGCGGCGGCCGACAACAACGCACTGCGCGAGGCCTTCGCGCGGGCCATCGACGATGAGGCGACGAGCAGGATGGCTATCCCACACGCGCACTTTTGGGCCAATATCGAATCGTTCTATGACAGGCACTGAGTTCGAGCCCCTAGCCAAGGGGGCCATCAAGTTAGGACTCCCCCCACTGGTGTTGTTTCGCGAGTTCCAGCCCCGCCTGCGACCGGGGACGCTCGCTAAATTGGAACCGTTGTCCGAGCTGTTTCAGCCGACGAGGTCGGCGGACCAAGGCCTCCGCAACGACGCGCGTTTCGCGAGATGCATGACAGACTGGGTGGCTCAGAAATTACGCATCGCGTGCCCGACGCTTTCGGAGCGCCACTGGATCGACGACGTGTCACAGAGATTTTCGGGGTCGCGTCGGCAT